TAGGGAAAGTGCATGCCTGGGCTGCTTTGTTAGATATGTTTGCTGGGTTCTGGGCTGGGAATGCTGTCTGGGTAGCTCACTGAACCGTATTCTCCTTCTTCTAAGAGTAGCTAAGGGATTATCAAAGGCAAAAGGAAAAAAGCCTCTGGAGAAGAAACTGAAGAGCCATCCAGCAAAGAACACGGTAACTGTGTTCCAGTGTGGGTAAGACACAGCAGTCAGTGCGCTGGTAAAGAGCCAGCTCTCTGTGCTGGCATCTGTGCCGGGGAATTTTCGGGCTCAAAGATTTCAAGGAATCCTAGTAAAATCAGGCAGGCTGGGCTCTCAGGCAACATCTAGTCCAAGTCCCTGCTCAGGGCAGGATCATCTAATAAATCTATGAATCTATCTGAATCTAAATCAGCCCGGCCAAGTATTTGTCTGACCTGAACATACAAACCTCCAGTGCCAGATTTGTCACCCCCCAGGATTTGTCGCAGTGCTGACCCACCTCTCGAGTGAGAATATTCTTCCTCAGATCCAGCCTCAATCTCCCTGGGTGCAATTTCAGTTCCTTGCTCCTTGTCATGTCTTCTGTGAGCACAGACCAAATGATCGTTTTTCTCCTTATAATAACCCCATTGGCATTTGAAATCTGTTATCAAATTTCACCTCCAATTTCTCTTCCCCAGACTAAATCATCACAGTTTCCCCTGCTTTCCTTGGGTGTCATGCTTCCTGCCTCTCTAATCATTTTTGTTCTGAACTATGTCCAGTTTGTCTATGTCTCTCCTCTCCTGTGTTAAACCAAGTAAAATGACGGGCTTTGACTGGCCCATGCACTCCTGCTATGACATCCCAGTATGCTAGTAGCTTTTTGTCTACTGCTGTCACACTGCTGACCTCGTGCTCGGCTTACTGGCCCCTAGCAGCCAAGCCACCCATTCCCAGTCTGTAGGTATGCACTTGATTGGTCCGTCTTAAGGGCAGGACTTTATTCTTGTCCTTATTGAATTTCATCCAATGACTTGCAGACCCTTCCTCCAATTTGTCAAGGTAATTTTGAATCCCAGCCGTATCCTCCAAAGTGCCTGCTCCCTGCCCAGCTCCGAATCCTCTGCAAACTTACAAAGGGCTGCAACCCATGTCGCTGTCCCTAAGCTGCACGTAAGCCAGTCACTGACCCCGCTGCCATGTGCAAGAGCAAGCTCTATTGCTAGATCCATAAAAACTTCAGTCTAACAAACAACCAGAACAAAACAAATGCCTCAATCCTCTCCCAAGATCAGAAGAGCCACTTGCTGTTCTAGCTTCTCCCCCTGCACAGCAACCTTGCTTCTCCCCACAGCTTGCCTCTGTGTGCTGGGGGTGTTCCCTCGTTACCCAAATGCCCCACAGCAGACATAGCTTATTAGGGCTGTCCACCCCCTTATACCGCATAACTGCTGGCACAGCTTGTGTCTCACTGTTGCCCATGCCAGCTTGTTTGGCGGGGCTGTGCTCTGCCTGGCCAGCTGGGAGGGAAAACAGGCTCGTCCTAGGATGTGCACAAGGCCAAATGACTCCTGAAATTTTAGTTGAGCAAACTACATGATCAGTGGCGGGGAGAGATGTCCTCCCACCGGTTAGCCCAACCTAGGGAATAGGGCACTGGTGCAGACAGCAAGAGACCATGGCTCGAGACCTCTCTCGCCTGGAGGGTTTTTGAAGCTGTATCTCCTGCTGCAACCTCCAGGTGTGGCCCAGACCCCTCCCAGCTCTCCCCTCAGAGCTGGCTAGGAGGAGTTTGGCTCTGAAAGGTAGCCGCTATCTTGGAGGGACATGGCCCCAGTTCCAGCCTGGACCTTTGCTCCTAACAGAGCAGAGACCTTCCCAGTGCTGTTTGCCTATTTTACCCAAAGATTGAATGCCAGGTGCAGTGGGCCAGCTTCAAGAGGAGGCTGGAGAGGGAGCAAGGTGATGCCCAGCCTGCAGCCCAGTGGCTGTGGTATTGTGCTGGGGAGCAAGTAATGTAGGTTCAAGCCCCTTTGGGTGAGGGGTCCTATAGGTCCTTGGCACCTGGACCCAACTACTACGCTATTGGGCTTGAGGGAAGGAGGTTTCTTTTCCTCCACGCTGTTGCTGGCTGCTCCACATTCAGAGTGATTCTTTCCCACCTCAAGAGAAAGCAGATCCCAGACGGTGTGCCGGTGCCACAACGGCAGTTGTGCAGCTGTGTCCGTGCTGGCTAGACATATAAAGCAAAACAGGATTTAGCCCTAAGTGGGTGCGTCTACACATTAATGAATGCGCTTTTGCTAATGTGCATTAAATTTAGTACCTCTATTGGGTGCTCTGATGTGCTGTAATTACAGCACGTCACAGCAGACCCTTCCTCCAATTAATCGAGTCTGCTGCAGTGTGCTAACTACTGCGCTCCAGCAGCCTCCTGCATCTCATGTATCGGTGTCCCCACGCTTCAAAATGGCAGAGGGGGTGCTTGTCGAACAAATTTTATTTCAAGAGTCCCTGCCATCCCCCTACCCCTGCAGCACATGTAAAAGTGCCTATTGTGAGGTACTACAAAAAGGTGCATTAGCCTATTTTAATGCACCTTAGCGAAAGTCCGTGGGTTTTTTTTGTGATGCTTTAAAGCACATTAGAATAGGCTAATGCACATTAATGCACACGTGTAGACATGCCCAGTGTGTATCAATGTCTCCAAGTGATTAAGTGGTCTGGTCACTGCTGCAGGCACCCTGCCAGCTAGATTGCAGTTAGCTTGGAAATACCCACACGTGCTGCAGTCACAGCTCTGATTGCAATGCAGGAGCACCCCAGGAGCAGCATGCCGCCACGAGGGGCTAAATGTGTCACTTCTCTTTTTGAGCAATGACATAATGCTGATGAGGCATCTGTCCCTATTCCTGTCACCTTTCCTGTTGGGGAGAGGTGTGGGATAGAGGCTCTGGGAGACCGTCTCCCTCTCTGTCCACAGGAGATGCACTGTGAGTTTCCCCAAAGGAAAGACTCTTACAGGTGCTGCAGAAACTTTCCCCGGCTCTCCCACTTCAGTGTAAAAAAATGGATACCTCTCCAACTTGATGATGTTAAACTCTGTATTTTTTCTTGGTGGGGGCTTTATTTCCTCATCCTGGATTGTTATTCTTTGTCTTGACCAGGGACAAAACACTGGATCCTGCAAGAATCAACGTACAAAAAATGAAACGATGATCAAAGAGCCCTTTGTGGCCAAAGTAATAAAAGTGACAAAACCATTCAAGTACAGCAATTCTGATGGTAAAAGGAACCAGGTGTTTCATGCTGTTGTGCTAAATGCATCTGCAAAAACAAGGATTAGAATTTTTGATGTGGAAAAACACCCGCTTTTTAAAAAAAATAAAACAATTGAAATATCAAATTATTATAAAAAAGAGGGGTATTTGCAAGTAGTGAAACACTCGATCTGTGAGATAAAAGAAGTGGAACTTGTCATTCCAAAGAAAATGCATAAAGATGCCGTGAGAAGAACCAGGATTGAAGACATACAGGAGATGCCAGAAAAGTCCTATGTGGATGGAACTTTTACAGTTAAGAAGGTAAAGTCACAGAGGCATGCACCATTTTTTCTCCATAAATTCGAGCCTGTACATTTAGCATCTTTGTTACTTTATTTTATTTTTTCAAGGACAAAATCGGGGCCTATTGAATTATAATTGAGAGAGGACTGCTATTTTTTACCATAAGCTTATCACCTGGAGGGAAAAATACTGCCAACATTTCAGACTTTTTCTCAAAGAACTTCAGTTCTTAGGGAACCAAAGTTTTCCATTTTTTTCAGTGAAAATTCTTACTAGAAATATGAGGCATGCTTTTAACAGTGAAGACAGTTAACCTCTGAAATGATTTAGCAGGGTCTGGACAATTTACCAGGCACTGAATGTCTCTATTCAAATACACTTCTATTATTATTATTATTATTATTATTATTATTTAGATTTGGTTTTAGATTTAGATCCTGCCTTATCCAGAAAGGCTCAGAGTGGTGTACAATAAATGGGAAACAACCCACAGCTAAGAAACAACAGTAGACTCCTCAAATGATCCCCCAGCACTTGAAAAGTCCAGCTCACCTCTCTCTTGCTTTGCTGTCTAGCATCCTTGAGAGCAAACCCTCCAGCCATCCCAATCACGGTTCACCAACCCCTTTCTAGCCCATCCTGGAGCCCTGCCTGGGGTTCAGTGCAAATGGTGGGAACGGTCCCTTCAGCTGAGAGCCTTTTCAGTCTAATTTTTTTAAAATAGCACCGTGATGGCAGTAGCATTGTTTTGCTGAGAACAGTCGACTGAGTGATGTTTTGCAGGTTCCTGGCTAAAAAGGAGGGGGTTTCATTGTTGCTGGGGTGCAAGATGCCTACCCCAGCATCCTCTCCATCATTCATAGCCCCAGCGAGTTTGGCTGGGTTGCATTGGTTGCCTGTCCCCACCTGTTCTCCGCTCTGAGTGCAGACAACCTCAGGCAGGAAGAGCTACGCAGGGGCAGAAGCCTGTGTGGCCAGGAGCACAGGCAGCCCATGTCAGGAGCTTGGTGCTTTTATACTGGATCATAGGAAGCTGGGAAATGTGAGGCTTTCCCTACAAGGTGCTGCCTTTGCTTTGCAGAAATGGCCGGAAAAAAGTTACACCCGTTTTACAGTGACGGACGACACAGGAGAACTAGAAGTCATGGCGTTTGGTGAAGTGGGTAATGTGAAAGCAGCAGAGGGCGACAGACTCCAGCTCACCTGTTTCAAAACAAACATGTTTAACTCCAAATTACAGCTCAAATCGGAAATGCACAGTCGAATCCAGGTGGGTGATTCAGGTTTGGTTCACTCCAAGGGACAGCTGTAAGGAACTAAACCCCTCCCTAGCTGCACAGCCCTTTCTCCTATTGGCTTCCCAATGAGCCCAGTGCATATGGAAGTGCCCAGGCAGGAGCCTAGCTGGTGTGCGCACCCTGCAGAGCGACGGGCACTGGTTCTGGGAGACCCTGGACTTCTTCTTCTTTTTTTTTAAAGAAATGTTTTTGTGTCTTTAGTGAAATCAGTCAGCTCAATTCTAAACCCGTGAGTCATTCAAGAACTGTATGGGGCCCTTCTGCTGGCAAGCATCCTTCACCCCCGCCTGCAGCTTCAGATGCTTCCAACTCCTTTGGCGGAGACCCTGGACTTCTAACCCACAAAGGCAGAGGCCACGGTGGTGCGGGGAGCGCAGCAGAGCCCCTGAGAACAGCCCGCGCTGTGTCCATCCATGCTCCAGGCAGGGTTGCCATTTCCTGCTTGCTGAGAAACAGCACCAAATTCCTGCACCTCCCGACCATGAGCACCTGCCTACTCTCTGTAGTCAGTACTTGAAACGCTGCCTGGTGTCTTCTGCATGTTCTTTCCTTTATCCCAAGCTTTCACTCAGCAAGCTTAGCACATGCAGCCCTGCTTGTTAGAACGTGTCCAGGGAAATCACGGGCATCCTAGGAAAGCAGGGCTGGAAGGGACCTCACAAGGTCATCTAGTCCCCTGCTCAAGGCAGGATCATCCATGACTAAAACCGTCCCAGCCAAGGGTCTGGGAAGTTCTTGGAAGTTTCCAGGCTAGGGAGCAGGTAGCCTGTCCCAATGAGTGTTGCTTGTTTTTGGGGAGAATTTAAATATTCTTGCACAACCTTTTATCCTTAGGGTCAAGGTTATTGATGAGATGTGCACATAGAATTTAGCCTAGGGATATTTTTGCTAGGACTTTCTTTTTTTAATTCTTGTTAAAAATGTATGCACAAACACTAGACAGAACCTCCAAAAAGAATGCTGCCTTTGACATTAGGAAGAGGATAGGGCAGAGGAGCACCTTAGAGATTCAGTCAGAGGCATGAGCTTTTATAATTTATCAAAAGCTATGAATGAACTGGCAGAAAGACAGGTTTGTACTCAATAAGGACAAGTGCAAAGTCCTACACTTAGGATGGAAGAAACTCATGCACTGCTACAGGCTGTGGACTGACTGGTTAAGCAGCAGCACTGCAGAAAAAGACCTGGGGGTGATAGTGAACAATAAGCTGAACATGAGCCAGCAGTGTGCCCTTGTTGCCAAGAAGGCTAACAGCATCCTAAGCTGCATTAGTAGGAGCCTTGCCAGCAGATCGAGGGCAGTGATTCTGCCCCTCTCTTCAGCACTGATAAGGCCACATCTGGAGTCCTGTGTCCAATTTTGGGCCCCCAGTATAGAAAAGATGTGGAAAAATTGGAGAGAGTCTAGCAGAGGGGAACAAAAATGGCTTGGGGCCCAGGGCACATGACTTGGGAGGAGAGGCTGAGGGAACTGGGCTTATTTAGTCCAGAGAGGAGAAGACTGAAGAGGGATTTAATAGCAGCCTTCAGCTCCCTGAAGAGGGGTTGAAAGAAGATGGAGCTGGACTGTTCTCAGTGGGGGCAGATGACAGAACAAGGAGCAATAGTGTCAAGTAGCAGCAAGGGAGGTTTGTGTTGGATATTAGGAGAAACTTTCTCATGAGAAGAGTACTGAAGCACTGGACCAGGTTACCCAGAAAGGTGATGGACCCTCCATCCTTGGAGGTGTTTAAGACTCTGGTTGATGAAACCTTGGCTGGGATGATATAGTTGGGGCTGGTCCTGCTTTGAGCAGGGGGGTGGACTAGATGTGACCTCCTGAGGTCCCTTCAACCCTCATTTTTATGATTCTGTATGTAGAAGGGAAAGGGATAAGAAGAGGGGCTAAGAGAGGTAATAAGTGGTTTGCCTCGATCAGCTGAGATGAACGAGGCACTTAACATCTGGAGGCAATGGCTAACTGCCTTTGTGCCTTTGGAGCTATGGAGTATCTGCCTGGAATCATTTTTTTACAACTTTTAATGTGCAAGGCCAGATTCACCAGGGTGCTGTGAGGGCCCCCGAGGAGCACAACGCCGGCAGCGATTGCACATTTGTATCTACATGAGTAACTAGGAAGGTGAAAAGCAGAAAAGGGAGCTTGTTAGTCTGGCTTCTGTTTAGCAGGCTCACAGCCACAAAGCTTTTAACACAGCCAGCTGGGACAGAGTGATCTACCAAGGGGAAATCTTGACCCACATGTGCCAGTCTCTTCATGCCATTGACTTGCACTGGGCAAATTAGCTCCTAGTTTGCACTGGGCAAATTAACAGACTGGTGATCTGTTAAGGTTCCTCTGATGTCATAAAAGCCTCATATTGGAGCAGCTGGGGACACTGAGTTGATCCTGCTTATATAAGCTGCTCATACTAAACCTGGCAGAGTAGACTTAGGTTTTCTGCAGAGAAGTTCAAGTTTTTCTCAAAAATAATTAAAAACATTTTTCTAGGTTTTTTGTTTTTAATTGACTAAACTCTGAACATTTCCAGCCCCAGAACAGCTGGAAAAAAACCAGCAGAACAGCTGGATTCTGCACTAGGGGCCTTGTGTGATTGATGCCCATTTTCTCTGAGAGAGCAGGCAGTCTCAGATTCATCCTCCTCTTGGTAAGGACATGTGGAGCAGTGGCCTGCAGGGGTGTGAAGAGAAAAGCCCCACAAGGGCTCCATCTGGTACCAAATACAGCAGCTCATCCATGTCCCATTGCACCTTGCTCTGAACATGTCCCCTAAGGCTCCCTTATCTGAGCAGAGTCACCCTAGGTCTCTCTGCCCAGGACCTCAGACCCTCGCTCAAAAACACATGCATGCACTTGCTCACACACACTAACTACACGCATTACGTGGTTTCTCTTACAGGCTGGAAAGGAAAAAGAGGCTATTCTTATTGCTTGTAGCTTTAACTAGTTGAGAGAGATTCAGATCCTCCAGCAATGGGAGCTGTATGAGAACAGGCAGGCAGGTAGACTGAGAGCTCTTCGTCTTAACCTGTGTGGCGCCAGCTGCCTCTACGGGGATAATGGGCTTTCTCTTCTCTTCACAGGTTATAAAGCAAAGAAAGAAATGAGGATACCGGATGTTCATCCCTGAAGCACAGGGCGAGTGTCTCTACCAACAAAGGTTCAGCCCTCCCCACTGGAATTGGGAATAAAGATGATTTGTAGCTGAACCCTGTGGAACATGTGCTGATTTCCCTAGGGCTCACGGCATGTTGCTGGGAGCTGGCTGAAACTTTGCTGGTGTGATCTGCGTTGCATGTGACACACTTCGAGTGTCCGTTATCTGCATGCCCAGCACCCTGTATCAGGTATCAGTTATCAGGACAGAGGGATGGGAGCTCCCTATGCCTGCTTTAGCTGTATTGAGATAAAAATGTTTACAGGTAAAGTGCCAGGTAACCCAGTCTTTGTGTTCCCCAGACCCTCCCCTCCAAAACTGTAAAATTTATGAGGGTAGATGTGATAAGCGCACCAGTAGCGAGTACATTGTTAGCAAGAGGAGGATCAGGGAAAGTGTGGGTCCCTTACTGAATGGGGGAGGCTACTTCATGACAAAGGATGCAAAAAGGCAGAACTCTTCAATGCCTTTTTTGCCTCCATCTTCACAGGCAAGGGCAGCTCCCAGACTACTGCAATGGGCAGCATGGTTTGGGGAGGAGGGGAGCAACCCTCAGTGGTGAAAGAACAGGATAGGGACTATTAGGAAAGCTGGACATATACATGTCCATGGGGCTGGATGGGCTGCACCCAAGGGTGCTGAGGGAACTGGCTGATAAGATTGCAGAGCCATTGGCCATCATCTTTGAAAACTCCTGGCAAACAGGAGAGGTACCAGATGATTGGAAAAGAGCAAACATAGTGTCCATATTTAAGAAGGGGAAAAAGGAGGCTCCAGGAAACTACAGACCAGTCAGCCTCAGCTCAGTCCCTGGAGAAATCATGGAGCACATCCCCAAGGAATCCATTTCTAAGCACTTGGAGAAGAAAAAGGTGATTAGGAACAGTCAGCATGGATTTACCAGGGGCAAGTCATGCCTGACCAACCTGATTGCTTCCTACACGAAGTGACTGGCTCTGGATGTGGGGATACCGGTGGTTGTGGTGCACCTTGATTTTAGTAAGACTTTTGATACAATCTCCCACAACATTCTTGCAGGCAAGCTAAGGATGTACAGGCTGGATGAGTGGACTATAAGGTGGATAGAAAACTGGCTGAAGCATCAGGTTCAGAGGCTAGCTGTCAATGCCTCAATGTCCAGTTGGCAACTGGTATCAAGCGGTGTGCCCCAAGGGTTGGTCCTCGGACCAGTTTTGTTCAATGTCTTCATCAATGACCTGGAAGATGGCACAGAGTGCACCCTTAGCAAGTTTGCAGATGACACCAAGCTGGAGGGAATAGTAGATACACTGCAGGGTAAGACTAAGATTCAGAGTGACTTGCAGGATTGAGCCAAAAGGAATCTCATGTTTGAGGTTCAACAAGGACAAGTGCAACGTCCTCCACTTAGGACAGAACAATCCCACGCACCGGTGCAGGCTGGGGGCTGATGGGCTGGGCAGCAGTTCTGCAGGAAAGGTCCTGGGGGTGACAGTGGACAATAAACTGAACATGATCCAGCAGTGTGCCCTTGTTGCCAAGAAGGCTAACAGCATCCTGGGCTGCATTGGTAGGTGTGTTGCCAGTAGGTCCAGAGAAGTGATTCTTCCCCTCTGTTCAGCACTGGTGAGGCCACATCTGGAGTCTTGTGTTCAGCTTTGGGCCCCCGCTACAGAAAGGATGTGGACACATTGGAGAGAGTCCAGTGAAAAGCAACAAAAATGATTCAGGGGCTGGAGGACATGGCTTCCGAGGAGAGGCTGAAAAAATGGGCTTATTTAGTCTGGAGAAGAGAAGACTGAGGGGGGATTCAATAGCAGTCTTCAACTACCTGAGGGGGGTTACAAAGAGGATGGAGCTGGGGTGGTCTCAGTGGGGGCAGATGACAGAACAAGGAGCAATGGGCTCAAGTTGCAGCAAGGGGACTTTAGGGTAGATATTAGGAAGAACTTTCTCACTGGGAGGGTAGTAAAACACTGGACCAGGTTACCCATAGAGATGGTGCAATCTCCATCCTTGAAGGTTTTTAAGATCTGGCTAGACAAAGCCCTAGCTGGGATTGATGTAGTTGGGGCTGGTCCTGCTTTGAGCAGGGGGTTGGACTAGATGTGACCTCCAGAGGTCCCTTCCCACCCTCATTTTGTGTGATTCTATGATAAGTGCTGCCAGAAGCAGGTTTGGGTTGGGGTCTGTTGTCAGCTGGCTCCTAGAAGCTCTGCTATTCCTGAGCTTGCCCCTGAGCAGCACAAGGTTGAGAAGAGCTGATGGGTTGATGCTTGCAACCTGGGGGAAGCAGTGGCCGTGATGCAGTGGCTGCAATGCTCCAGCTGGGAAAACACCCCTAGTGGTAAGGAGCAAGAGTGGCCAGGAGTGCACGGCTTGGTAGTGGTGAGTACTGTGGCCTCTGATGTGGGCTCTGTCTGATGTGGGCAGTCGAGTCCCCAGAGGGCAGTGGCCACCCTTGGTGGCTGGGTGAGGTAGTGGAGCACCTCTGGGTTTGCTCTGCAGCAGGCCAGAGAGCCCCTTGCTGCAGGACTGGCCCCAGCTCGGGGGAACGGCACCATCCCAAGGGACAGGGGACAGGGTGGGGCTACCAGCCACACTTATCAGCCACCAGGGTCTCCCAGTGTGGAACTGGGAAAGACTGTCAGTGGTGACTGGGATAGACTGCTGGCAATTAGTTGGGACCAGCTATTAACTAACTGCTAAGGTCTCCCTAAGGTTGCTTGTTTGTCCCCATTAATAAACCTGGCTGCAGTTCACTACTGCTTGCAGGAGTGGAAGTCTGCTCACTCCGGAGCACCCAGGGGAACATCTTTCCCACATGTCTGGGCCAACGTAGAACTGTTGTGTGAAACCCCTAAGTCTGAGCCTGGCCTTTGCTGTAGCCATCCAGTGCTAGCAAAGGGTCCCACGTTCTTCTGAAGGGAGCTGCAGTGCATCACGTGGTAAGACAGGTGGAGCAGTGAAGTGAGGATGCACACACTTATTGCATAGTAGGGACATGTGGCTTTTGGTTTTGTCATTGCTAAGTTTGTGACTAGCATAAACCCCAGTTCAGCATTCACATGGCCAGACAATTCTCAGTGGGATTTGTATCTGGAAGTCTTACATTCTGTTACAGATTTCATTATCCATGGTCGTCAGACTCTACAGCTGCAACCATCTTAAGTCCTCTGATTAAGCTACCTAGACTTAAAAAATCATCCATCTTAAAGAAGCAGGAAAAACAATTTAGAAAACAATATATAAAACCTGGAACTAAGCAGAGGCAGATAACCATGAAGTGCTGGGTATCAGCAAAAAACATATGGCCAACAGGACTGAAGACTTAGAAAGAATTTTCAATTGAGCAGGGACAAGTTGCTTGGGTGTATTACTAGAAAGAAACTGTAAAAGCAGTAATGACACAGCAGATGCAGAAGGGCTCGATAAATGCTTCTGCTTTGTATTGGCAAAGAAGGCAGGGGCCAGAGATGTGGCAAGGAGCAAACCAAAGAGTATGCTTTATTTACCAAACAGCACGAGCCAAATATTTTCAGTGATTGTAGTAAAATACTTGGGCTCTTGGCTCTGCCATGGAGGCAGGTGAAAGCCAGACCATCTTCTTCCTGTGGATATTCTGTTCATTAAGTGCTACCTTATGACAATACAGTGGAACCACCTATTAAGTATGGGCCATTTCAGCTCCAGCATTTGGACACATGTCCTCCGGTGATTTTCAGTGCCAGACCCCTGTGTCTTCCAGAGCATAAACCATTGGGCATCTTGTGAGCTCTGCAGCTGAGTCCCTGGAGCAGACACTGAGGTTTAGGCTACACTAAAAAGGGATTTCCACCATCCTGTTATATGGGAGGTATTACTGGCACTTCTCAATGTATCTTTCATCTACAGAAGTGGAGCTGGTCACTGGCACAGAGGTGGAACAGGCCAGCTAGGCATGTGGGGCAGCAGCGATGCATGGGGACAGCATGACTGCTGCAGTGCCACTGGCGTGGCTATGCGCCTGCAGTGGTAGCTGTTAATTTTCTGCCCCTTCCCTCACAAGTTGGTGCCTGGGGCGGCTGCCCTGATTGCCCCCCCACTCAGTTATGCTACTGCACAAGCCCAGGCGCTTGGGGTATCAACTGGTACTAGCTGCATCCATCACACGTTGCACTGAGGGATGTTATACTTTAGAGATGCTACCTAAAAGTAGACTGAAGGAGTTGGAAATTGGGAGATGACCCCTCAGTTAGAGAACAGCCAGCTTGTTAGCTAGGTAGAAACCAAGGGTTTGCATAGGTTGCCTACTGCTCCACAATAAAGTTCATTATTCAGTGCTTCTCATTCACATGTCAGTAGGCACGTCTTCACGTGCTATTAATGCAACACAGTCAACTCCAGTGCAGTTTGTGCCAGAGTTTACTGCTCCCAAGTGCTGCATTTGCACATGCAACCAGGACCTCAGCATGCTGAGCTGGTGCAGAGCTGCCCCAGCTGGCACAGGGCCCGGGGGATCAGCTTGCCAGCCTGGGGCTGCTCCACCCTGGCTCAATGTGCTGCAGCAGGGCTGGCTAGGGCACAAGGGTGCTCTAGTGTGGGGCTAGCTGTCAGGCAGCCCCCACGCTGAAGCACCCTCATGCCCCAGGCAGCCTGTCACCATCTACACATGCATTGCAGTGCACTAAATAATGCCTCCATAGGATAGTATTTGTGTTGTGCAGTACCATCCCAGGGCGGTGTTAATGACTTTACTGGGTGCGTCTACACGAGACGCTACATTGCTGTAGCTATGGCAGGCCCAAATCATGACGCTGACACTACTGTGCACAGGAGCATTGGAAATGACCTGTGTAGCGTACGGATAGATGTGCCTACTGTGGCCTAATAGGGTTGCATATATAGATGCTGAGGCTTTACTGTGGAGCTAATTAGTCAGGTCATTAGTAAACATCTCATGTAGACATGCCCTGTGTTTATTAAAGCCAATGATCACTGCACACATGAAAGGAAGAAAACAGTCCAAGGGCCACTGTGAAGCAGCAGACAGTGAGCAACGCAGTCATGTGGCCCTGAGAGGGCATGGAGATAACTCTGGGGACCCTTACCTGGTAGGAGAGGCTGGTTGAAGTACCGAAAGCAGGAAGCTGCTTCTGGGTGCAGGAAAACAGGACTTTGGGCTTCCTCTAAGCAGGATTGCACTGGAGAAAACTGACTTGTGCCAGGGCCTTCTCCTAGGAGAGGCAACACCCAAAGCTCAGGATATGGTGGGCTGTTCAGACCCACAGCCTCATTCTCCTAAACCCTTGGGCTTTCACAGTAGACTCTACTAACTTCTAAGTCTTCTCCATGTAGGAGGGCTGGGCTCTGCCCCTGGGTTCCTGGTTGGAGACAACCTCAGCTGGAGCTTGTCCTGAAGCTTTTCATGTCATGGATCCGGAGGGTTTTATGAGGTCAGTAAAATGAGGGGAAATGACCAGAATATTTGGTTGAGCAAGCAGGAGCAGAGCACCAGGAATGCACCACGTCGTGCCCAGCAGGTCCGCTCGGGCACTCTGACCCATGTGCTGTGGGGTCCAGACCAGCGTACCTAGAGCAGAAGCCTGCAATAGCTTTGGTCCCATGTTGCTTTCCTGGAGTTTCCTGACAGCAGCTGCAGTCGTAGGCAGGAGCTGATTCAAGGTGTTGGAAGAAGTGAGGCCCTTGTTCCCCTCCTGTGTGCAAACAGCTGGGAGCAGGGCAGTTTCCTTAGACTTATTCCCTGTTCCTGACTGTTCACCAAAGGAGCTGGGGCACAGGGCTGACTTCTTTCCAAAAGCAGTTGTGGGTGCGATGCCCCAGGGGCCCTTCCAAGCCCATGGCACTAGGCTGCGGTGGGTTCTCAGCTTGTAGACTGGGCATTTGGATTGCATTGGCTGCAGTCCAGCAAGGTTTTGGCCCAGATGACCTTGGGTCCCTTCCAACCCAATGAATCAATGAATTCGGTGTGGATGCATGAAGCTGTGGGCTGGCCTGTACAGTGGTAGGGAGGGCGGCAGGAGGAATTGCTGGTTGCAAGATCAGAATTTGCTTTCTTCAAGGAGTTTCTTCCACTTGCCTCCACCAGCACTGGGTCAGTAGATCGGGCACCAACTTAGACACCGAGCAGAGGATAGGAAGGGACATTCTGGATGCTGGAAAGGCCAGGCAAAGGCAGAACAGCAAGTTCAGAGGCACACTTGCTGTCAGTGGGGAGATCCTTGGCTGTCCCTAGGCAGTGAGTCCTTCCTCCTTGCAGTCTGAACTGGAAGAGGCTTCTGCTTAGGATCTTAAGCTCTCAGTGAGCCACCAGAGCCGGTGTCCATGCTCGCTCCAGTTCCAACACTGATCCAACAGTGTTATCAGCCCCTCAGAGCTGGGACACAAGGTCCCTGTAGCAGTGACACAGGTCAAACTTTGGGGAAGCCAGGCAGCTCAGCCCCAAGGGCAGAGCACTTTCTGGCAGTAAGCTGGCATTGGCAGCTCATGTCAGGACCACACTGACATCTGCATTGAACTTTGTGCAATCAATTGATCAAGGGATCGCTGTCTTTGGCTGAGAGAGAAAGTGTCTGCACTGGGCCCCAGCCTGAATCCACTGGGGGCTCAGGAAGGCCCCCTGGGAGGTGCGCTGCCCACGTGCTGTGCTGGGCACTGCCCTGGCTGGCTCCTATCCAGGGATGTCAGTGAGAGCAGATGGACGAAGAAGAGCTCCTCAGGGTGGGACATGTCATGGACGAAGGCCTAGGGTTGGGTAAGACTCAATAGGGACCTGAACTCACCGGAAGGGGCAACTGATGGGAATGTGCACCTGGAGAATGAGCCAGGCCAGGACGTGTGTTGGTGGTGTCAGAGGGGCGCTTGTTGCTGGCGAGGGAGGCCATGGAGCTTGTAGCCAGGGAGGGGTGGGAGCCCAACCCCCAGGGCTTCCACACTAGACTCTACCAAGCACACCGAGCCATGCAAGGGGCAGGAATTGACCCTCGCCCCGGCCCTGGCCCTGGGAGGTGGAATGACTGCTCTTGCACAAGGCGGGTCCCATGCAGGCCCTTTGCATTACTCCTGCTCCTGGCTGCCTGGAGAGAGATTTGTCTCCAGGACATTCCCCTCTAGTCCAGCTGTCCCAGCCTCCACTTGGGGGAAGTGGCACTGGCTCATACTGCATGAGCTTTCTGGGGCTAGATCCTAAATCCCTCGGAGCCAACAGGAAAATGCCCAGGGCAGAGGACCCCAGGAGTGCGGTTGGCGTACTGGATCGCTGAGTCCAATTGCTTGCAGTCTCTGTGGCAGGCTTTGGGCTGAACCTTACTGGCTTTGGAACAAGAAGGGATTTGCCCTGGGGGAACTCTGGGAGCATCAGCTCAACATCGTTCAGGATCTCTTGGCCTACTCCGAGCCTGGCCCTGGGCTCAGGATGCCCCCGGGCTGGCAGTACTTGGACCCTTCATGGAGCAGTGAGATGTGCTGGGGGCTCAGCTTGGCACATAGGACAGGAGGGTAAAATACAGCTCCACAGGGCATGGGCCATGGGCTGTGTGCGTGCCTGGGGCCAGATCTGCAGGAGTCCGTGTGCCTGGGAAGTAACCCCGCCACTACAGCGGTGATCCAGACCCCTGGGTATGAATGTGGCCCTGTTCTTTAGAATCACAGACAATGAGGGTTGAAGGGAGCTCAGGAGGTCACATCCAGTCCAGCCCCCTGCTCAAAGCAGGACCAGCCCCAACTACAGCATCCCAGCCAAAGCTTTGTCTTTGTCTAGCCAGGTCTTAAACTTCCCCAAGGATTGAGATGCCAGAACCTCTATGGGAAACCTGTTCCAGTGCTTTAGTACCCTCCTAGTGAGATTTTTTTTCTTAATATCCAATCTAACCCCCTTTGCTGCAACTTGAGACTATTGCTTCTTGTTCTGTCAGCTGCCACCAGCCCTGAAAAGTCCAAGACTTGCTGTGCCCTGAGGGCACAGAGGCCTCCACTTGAGATCGTGTGCCCTACACAGTTGGCTGGTCTGGTTTGCGTATGACACATTTGCACACACTGCTGCGCAGGCACAGACACGCACCTGCACTTGCACCTCTCCAGTACTGAAGCGTGCCAGGCAGCCTGAGGCACTTAGCAGCCTTTGGGAGAAGCAGCAGCATCTGCATATCTCTCTGGCCTGGAGCTCCTTGCCTCGGGCACCCCGTAGTAACCTGCACCTTCCCTTGGGGAGAGCACCAGCTCAGCTGCCAGCAGTCTGCTCAGAGCAGGCCCAGT